GGGTTAGACTTAAGAAGGGTCTTCAGAGCATCAATATCAATTCCAACGTGTTAGCCCCTGCCATCACAGTTTTTAAGGCTAAAGTCACCTGAACGAAATTTGATGAACCATCGTTGACACTTACGAACGTTCAAAATATTTCCATAAACTTCTTTCATATTCTTTGTGGCCACAGAGGCATTGTTTCCCTTCTTGTATTCAAACAGCATTACATGCCAAATGTGTGTGTCTCGTCGTGTACCATCACTATAAGGGATTAGACTATACTAAACTTTACACATTATATAGGTTACATTAACGTGACGTTTAGGCGGTTCGTTTAACTATTATACGCGACATTAGTTTCTCGACGACCTAATATTATCACGAATAGTCTATAATTTAAATCAGATAAGCAAAATACGATTATGTTGTTAGCTGTATGGCATGATAATTAGGACGTTTGATCTTCAATCTGCGAGTCGCGGGGTCGAAACCCGTCACCGAACTTGCTCGCCCTTTCAGCCTTGGGTGCACAATGTTCTATCTGTGCTGTGACCACCGCAGAGATCGAACCACGGATTTTAGCTATATAGGACAGAGTGCAGTAGCGCCCGAGACTTCTCTGTTCTTCTCTCCATCTCTTTCTTTCTCATACTCCCAAAACAATTTATATATTTAATTTTCTTTCACTTGTTAATTTGCCTTCCTTGTACGAGTTTGAGCTCAGATGTTGTTGTCACGTGTTGAAGCTGTGAAGTTATTGGAAAACTCAAAACTTTGTGTTAATTAACACAGTACATAATATGACCATATATATACATTTCAAAACGAATTATACGGGTTAATGTGCATTTTAAATTTGACTATCAAGCGTTATGTATGGTAATGAAATGTCAAAAAGATAAAATTGTACAAATTAAACAAAGTTATAAATGCAGTTCACTCTTGGTAGCTGTTGATGTGTATTCAAGAAAACTAGTCAATGTAGCATACTAATTGTGCTATTTTGTCGTGATTTTGAGTTAAATATATATCTACCTCTGATTGTTCCAGTTATTGTATATCTATATCAAATGTGAACGGTACAATTATTCAATAACAACACCAATAAATATTTAGTTACAATTTCTTCGGTGTTTTCAGAAACGTTCAATACAAGCTAAAATAAGAAAATGACTATGAAAACGGAACTTTCAATAGATAACATAACTGAAGAATCGTAGTAACATTCAAACGTCATTTTTAGTTAATATTTATTTTTCTTCTCTCTGCAAACACATAAACGTTATTAAAGTTTAGAAAACACTTATAAAAAGAAAAAAACTCAGACTGACCAAGAATGTTAACGTTCAGATGGCCTACCATCAGATCGCTCTAATATATATATTCTGATAAAATGCTTCAATGATTACTCTTTACAAATCAAGAAACATAATATATCGTGATCTCCATAGACGAGTCTATGAAGCTTGTAAACTAATATTTTGTGCATATATGTTAACCATTGTTCCGTAGTTTACCTTTATTCTTATCTCACCTTTCATGAACGGCTCAGTGATTTGTTCATTAGTCATCGTGAAGACTTTGTGCACATACAATAAGGCTTTAGTTTATTCATGCTGAAAAGCCTGATTCCTAATGGGAGCTTGGTTAACATCGACGCCATAAAATCATTAATGGAGTGTTTTATATCCGATTTGGATGTTAAAGAGTTCTTTACGTTTTGGAGGATTTTATTAGTAGATTTCTCAACTCTAGAGTATTTAAGTTTGATACTTGTATGTTTAACATTTTTATCTGTTAGAATAGCAGTAAATGATTATTCATTGTGAAGAAAACAGACTACTTGTTAACACTATAAAAAAATTAGTATCTTTTATCGTTTGGAATTATTCTTTTAAACAACAATCTAGTTTTCAGAAGAAATAACTTGCATAGAATTTAATATTCAAAGTAAATTGATATTTTTTGTATTTGTTTAGCGCAAAGCCATACGATGGGCGAGATGTACGTTATAAGCTCCAAATCTGAGCCCGCAGGCATAGATCAACATAGGTCCAATTATTTTTGACTTTGCATAAGAAGTCTTTTTGACAAAACCTCAACAAAAGCGTTGCTGAAGAACAAGAACTACAAGTTTTTCTGCACAAGTAAAAAAAATATTTATATTTATTTCTGTAATCTCTTGATCTCCTGCCGCACTAGGTTACGCCTTCCCCTTCTAAAAATCGTAGACCCACCAGCGCATTTTTCATATAATTCCTAATCTTTCTGCTGAATAAGCTCTTTTCTGTTCTATCGCTAAGTGCAAATGTGTGTACTTTTTAAGAGTATCAATACGAGCTGAAAACTCCCGCAACAACACACAGGAGAAGCTTTTCCAACGAGGAGCGAGTATTTTTTTTTATGTAATTTGTTTAGTAGCATTTCTTTCGAGTATTATGTAGCATATCATTATGTTTGCATTCTTAATGGAAAAGTTGCTAGATTGAAAATGATGCAAGTAACCATTGCGCTCACAAAAGAAATATTAAAAAAAAGTTTCATCATGGCTGAACTGGATAAATTCACTCCCATGATCAATAAGGATAGGCATATTTGAGTATACGGTCGACTTTCGTCAAGCAAAGAAAAAGTATTACAATTCCAAAATATTTTTTGTTTCACTAAAAATAAATTATAAGCATTTTTTGTAATTTATATCTTATGATTTTATAGTAATTGTTACTTGTTAAGCACAATGGTCTATCGGTGTTCTGCCTACAGCGGGTATAAACACCTGAATTTTAGCGTTATAAGCCCTTAGGTTTATCATGCATGAAATGCTTTTCATGGTACCTTTCCATCGTAATATGTTGGTTTCTTTATTTGGGCGATGTTGTTAAACTGGCCTGTTAAATTTGATAAAAGTATTGGTGTATAAGTAGTCCTGGAAGGTCCTGCATTTGTAGAGATGACACCAATGGTAACTGGTGTAGACCATATGGGTTCTTCTATTGTATATTGTATAGGTAATGGTGTTTGAAGTTGGGATTCTTAAGCATATGCAGAGAGACGTGTGGTTAGTATGGCCCTTGAATTTTCCATTTCAATCTCCAGATGTTTTATTCTTTTTTACTTCGTTCATTCCTTTTATATATTACCTATGTCTTCTTCGATCTTGTTAGTGTTATATCTGTATTTCAGTCTAGTTGCTGTAATCATTATGCACAATTCCTACAGCTTTTTCAACTTCAGTCTATGCATTTTATATAACTAAGTACTTATGACAATGTTGTGTTGATTGGATTTCAGTCATTGTCATGTTACTGAGTCCTGATGGTAGTCAATTTCAATAAATTGCTAATCTGTCAATCTACACAATATCACACATATATCTTATTACTATGTCGATGATACAAACTCGGTATTCACAGCAGTGAACTAACTGAATAACAAACTCAATAACTCACTCTTACAGACACAATGTAAATTACTAATAGATACAATAACCAATAACAATCAGATCTGGTCTAACTAAAATGTGGGAGAAACTTCCAGGTTACGTCCATTACTCTACGTTAAACTTACGGTCAATCAACAATACAAACCTTTAGAAACGTCTAAGTTAAGAACATGGCCTTTACCTCTATACTATGTTAGAGAAAGTCTAAAAATGTACATTTTTTGCGATTGTTAAATAAAAATATAATTGTGTTTTGTTTAGAATCGATCCTTTAACTTAGTAGAAAATACGATGAATATCACAAAAAACTAATAACAGTTTCCATCAGTTTATTCTTGTAACTGAATAACGTGGTTACTTAATTATTCTACTGTTTTCACGTTTGTCAGTTGTTAGTGTAGCTTATTTTCAAAAGTTTGTTTGTAATTAAGCACATAGCTACACAATGGGCTGTATGTGCTCTGCCTACCAAAGGTATCGAAACCCGGTTTCTAGCATTGTAAGCCCGCAGACATACCGCTGTACCACTGAGGGGCTATTTTTGAAAGATAAATGGATGATGTACAATGCAATATTTATTAATAAACTAAAACTTCTGTGTATTTAATTTCTCTGTGATGACTTTAACTTATTTCGAAAAGTTTTTGTAGAAATATAAATTTGTTTGTTTATAATACATTACATATTTTTTCATTTATGTGTTTATAGGTTTCATCATGACACAGCTGAGGAGCTCTGATTAACTTATCAGATAAAGCTCAAGGTTTGCTTGTAATGGCTACCGCCAGACGGATATTTCGGACTAAATGAAGTTTTCTGTGACAGAGTAGATTTATGAAGAGCTCTATTCGTCAATCATGTCCCTCGATTTTAGAGCGTCTGTCCCTCGAATAAACACTCCTCTCCCGGCCTCTCACAGCCAAATAGAGAGTCAAATTGAATCTTTCGTAGAGAGTTTTAAAAAGAACGGATCTGTCTTCACCAACAAATTAAGTGCAGAGTCGTGCAGCTCTTGTCCGCCAGAGAGCTCGAGTCAGGTTACGTCATTGGGTGACAGTACACACGGAAACCAAACAATAAGCATGGCTCCCTCGTCCCAAGCTTCAAGCAGTTGTTTTGATTCTTCCTCGTGTGACGACGTTCTTATTAGTGATACTGGTAAGATAGTTTAAAGTTAATATATTGGAATTAAATGGAAAAGTATTTAGATGCAATGAAAGAATTTTTGAATTATATGTTCTGCTGCTCACTTTCTTTGCATATACTTACTTTTCAACAGTCCAATTTATGTTGTGTTATTTATTAATTCAGGTTTTTATTTTTCAAAATGAGATAGTATAGTACAATGTAATTATTGGTGTAAGTGGTAATGTAATCAAAACCGTATATTTTCTTCGCCTGAAAAACAAAACAGTTTTAGATAGATATTGATTGTGTTATGTTGTGATATTTGCTTTAGTTTTTCATAAAACTAATTTCTGTATCACGATCATAATATTATTTTATTATTTTGTGATGCAAGTATTTTTTTTCATATTGCATCTTTAGCAGGTGGGTAGGGTCATGAGAGTTAAGATGGACGTAAACAACAGGCTTGGACTAGTACTTTGTTTTGTCATTAAGTGAACTTGATTCAGTAAAAAAAAGTCTGTATTCTATAAGTAGTAACGGAATGTTCAATAATAGAGTGGGTTATGAATAATCCAGTATGTTGTGGGCTTGTTCAGGGCATTTTTGTGACATGTGAAGAGAGACTTGAATGCTTCCCTAGCAATGCTGTAGTTACTCTGTGCCTTGTCAGGTATAGTCAGATTTGTAGAAGTCCCCGCTGATTATGAGTTGGATTTTTGTTTTAATCTGTTTTTAATCTCACAAACTATAAAGAAAAATATTATTTTGCTTTCTCGGTCGATGTGCAGAGATGTCGGTGATACTTTTGATATAAATTTCATAAGGAATACATAGAATTTTATAAGTACTGATTGTCAGTAGTGAATTCACTGAAGGATAATGCGAGAGTTTATCCTATATATAACAATTTAATTTTAGAGTTTTTCAGTGAGTCTAGCATTTAGAAAATCCAAACTCTGGGTTCACATATTTTTTTTGGATCATGTAGGCCTACTTACTAATTATAACGGTGTTGAAACAGATTATTTGTTTTTGATACATTATCGTTAGTAAGAAGAGCATAACACGTTCTATTGGACTTGAACCACTGTACAAGTGAATTTAACAGTATTTGGACTGTCAGTTTAGTCTACTTTCATCTTCACTTTTTATTTTTTACCGTTACTCTCACGTATACCTTTTTAAACTTACATACCTTATCTGCATTAATTTCCTATTTTCTCAAGTTAAGCCCTTATTCCTAGACCACGCGCCGGGTGAAGGAGGATTGTTTAATCTTTAAGCACCCTTGATTGATAATTATTTCTTAGGAGATGATTATTTTTAAATCAAAATAACTGCCAAGAACAAACAACAACGAGACAATTAATCGGAATTGGAATTGCAGATAGAGAGATTGAAGACATAGACACGGATAGTTGAGTCAAGCGGGCGGTAGGTACTGTAAGTAAAGCGTGTGAATCGTTGTGAATTATAGCGTATGTTTAAGTGAAAGTGACTGTGGAAATTAAGTGTATTACAAAGTTTG